ATCCGCTGGGTGTGTGCGGGCGTGTGATTCTTTGGTCTGTGGGTGGTTGACTGGGTATCTGCTGCGTGTGCGGGCGTGTGATTCTTTGGTTGGCTGGGTATCCGCTGTGTCCGGGAGTGGGACTGGGTACGGCTATGTGCGGGCAGGTAGCTGGGTAACCGCTGTTTCCGGCCATTTAACCGTGTAAGTGTGGTGTCCGTGCGCATGACTGGGTAGTCCGATGTCCGTGGGTGTGACTGGGTAGCCCTGTGTCCGGGGGCGGGACTGAGTGCCGCTATGTCCAGGAGTATGACGGGGTCGGGGTGGCCACTGTATCCGGGCGGTGGCTGGCTACCCGCTATATCCGGGCATGCGACTGCGCAAAACGTTGTATTTTGGCGCGTAACGGAGGTAATCACTGTATGGGGCGTGTCACTAATTACGCGGCTGTTTTCCGACCTGCAAGTGAGCAGGCTGCTGTGTCCGGACGCGTGACTGAGTATGCTGTTGTGTCTTGACGCGTGGCTGCGTAAGCTGCCGTGCCCGGGCGTAGAACTGCGTACACCCGTTGTTCTCGGATTAACTGAGGAAGCCGTATTGTCCGGGCTGTTCCAGTCCATCATTACGCGTAGCCTGAGGTGCCGCTCAGGGGGTCCGCCTGGCATTCGGTGGCGGCGGACGTCTGCTGGCTGCGGCTGGGAACGGAAAAGGTCGCGACGTACTCTGCGCCGACGGCGGTGCATTTACTCGGCCGCTGAGGTTTGCTGCTGCGCTGCTGGCTGGACGGCCGCACGCTGAGTGTGCGGCAGCACGGTACTCGGTCCGTGTGAGGCATATCGTCGTTGGTCTGGCATGATGCAGCCAGCATGCAGCCGCGCGCATCACTCGATAGGAAGCTCAGGTAGGCCCTAACGTCACCTCGTGGGGAGGCGAGGGCCATAAGACGTCGGTAATTTCTGGCCAGTGGAACGTCGATGACGTGTGTTCGATGGTCCCTGATAAACGCTGCTTGATTAGTTATGCTTCCATTGCCGTGATCGGTTGGACGCTGATGCCCGTGGTGGAGGGGGGCAGTCTTGGTGGGGCTTGCCCCAAAGACTTTATCGTAGTGTATTATAGGTTATGAACTGAGAGCTTGCAATAAGCGAGAGCAATGGACGTTATTCTCTGCGCGTTGCTAAAAGAATGTACCGCCGCCCTGCTTCCCTCCCTCATGGCGACATCTTGGCATCTCGGCATTAGTCGGCTCCACTGCGACCACACTACTGTATTTATCAACGGAGATCTCTTGCAGAGGGTCGCAGTTTTGCCCTCCACACACGTCTCCCTTTAATGTGACGTTTAATTACTATCGTCTCCCACAACTCCCTCTGTGTTGGTTGAGGAGCACCGTCCACTCACATTGGTCGCAACAACACGCCAGGGCGGCTCGGCTACTTCTGGGTTGGGTCGTGGATGTACGCGGTGAAGATGGGCACGCCCAGCTCGACGTGCACCAGCGAGCAGACGAACGGCTGGTCGAAGCGCGCCTGGAACGGCTTGGGGGGTAAACTAGTTGGTACGAGCCCGATCCCGGCGGCGCCGGCCGCCGCCTCCGTACCGTGCCGGTCACTCGAGATGACCGCCTTATGGACCAGCTGGTCGACGAGCAGCCGGTCGTCAGCACCCAAGCCGCGGACGAACATCTCGCGAATGCCCATTTGTTGTGCCAGGTCAATGTACGAGTATTTTTTGGAGTCGATGTTGAAGCTGGGCAACGTGACGGCCGTGTAGGTGATGTTGTGCTCACCGACCAGCGCCTGGTAGTGTCGCTGACGCAGCTTGTCCTGTACCGGTGAGCCGTCGGTCGTGGTGAACAGGAACATGCGGATGGCGTCGTTGCGGTACGACAGTGACACACCGATCACGCCGTCTGTCGACCCGTCCAGCAGCGGCAGCCAAGTTTCTTTGTAGAGCATCTCGGTGTTGACGGGACCGGCGCCCGTGCGGAACACGCCGGGCTGGGCTTCCAGCTGCCTCCCCCACTTGTCGCGGAATACCAGCGCCGACGCGAAGATGAGGCTGGTGTCGGCCGCCAGGCTCGTGAAGAGCTGTCGGATCTTACCGTTGGTGGCGCGCTCCACCTGGCTGTTGATAAGCCGAACCGTCTCTGGCTTCGCGAAGTCAACTGCCGATCCGCGGCCGCGCACAAAGTCGAGGATACTCTTGCAGCGCGCCTGCTGCCTCGTGCCAGCCGTCCCATCGCAGGCGGCGAAGGTGGCAGGCCGGTAGTAACCCATCAGCGTACCGTTGAGTGTAGGCTCGGCGTCGGCGGCGGCCAGGAGCGCGTCGCTCAGCTCGTCCAGCGCCGGCGACTGGAGCGCCTCCTTGATTTCACCGCGCACCTTGGCGTTGCCCAGCCGATAGGCGGCCGTCAGTACTTGCAGCAGGCAGAAGGTGCACACCACCTCGTTCCGGCCACTGAACACGCGGGTGACGACGCGCTCGTTTAGCACGTATGCCGCCGGGTTGGTGTCGACCAGCGCGCCCGGGCGGGTCGTCTGATATTGCTGGCTCTGCGCGGCGGCTCCTGCCAGCAGACAGGCGGCGGTGAGCACAGACGACGCTTCATGGCGACGGACTGACGCCGGGCGGCCGCTCCTCCGCTTTTCTACTGGTCGGCGGGCCGACTGACCGCAGCTGCAGATGAAGGGTCTGATAATGATTAACGGCGGCGGCCGGCGGGCAGACGCGAGCTCAGGCTTAGCGATTTCGCACGCTGGTGGCTAGGGACAATTCACGGATTAGCTGAACCCAAGCATTGGTATTTGTGTATTTACAATTACTACACAATTACAACTACAAGTACAATTAATGTTTTGACTTACTTTTGGCCAT